CGTTTTTGATATAAAGATCATAAATATTACGCCGCTTCCATTAACCTGCTCTTATTCCCGAAGCGGGAACTGCCGCTACATGACTCAAAGAATACACAGATTCAGTAACTAGCAATAAAAAGCCAGACGTACGTTCAATATTGGCTTTTCATAAATCGGCACAGTGTCTCGACTCGGAAGATAATTTTCCATTCCCCGATTTTTTTCTTCTAGCGATCGTCTTGCAAATCGCTCGAAGGTTTTTTTATTTTTCTTCTTTTCTCACAAACAGCTGAATCGTCGACTCGTCGGCGTGTACATGTGCATTTCCATCAAAAAAACATGTGTGACTGACTGATGTCGAGTACGCGTGTACGGCCACGTTTACTACACTCGGTTAATTTTAGATCGGAGTAGTTGACGAGAGAGGGTCGTAGATAAGGGACGAACCCAGCTAAGAAATGGGTGAATGTCAATGTACACCGTACAACATCGTCGTCGTACATGTGCTCGTACGTGTATCATTGGCCGTCGACATCATCGTATCACTAATTTAAATCAGGAAGATATTCTACAGTATGATGCTGAAGCAGTGAACACACAGAGTCTCGCAAAAGTGTGGAAACTTATTATATATTTCGAACATATTACACGTATTGTTTGTGTTATGGTGAAAAAAAAACTGGAAATACAAATTACAAACATACGTTGTTCAGGAAAAATGGTAAAATGTGATCAAGGCAGCTATTCATACTATTTCATGCTACGTAGATACTAATTTTTTATAGTATATTTATAGTAGGCTTGTAATACAACTTGTCTATACATTTCCAAATTGGCCTCGAGTTTTATCGATATAATCAGAAAATTCGTGCTAATGAAATTTCATATGATGTTTCATACACACAGACACATATAATATACGAGTAAAAATTTTTAATTTAAAATCGTCAAGAATTTTCTGTGATAAAAACATTTCGAACACTTTTGCGAGCCAGTGGTATGTATGTACACTTTGAAAGTTCTCCGATGAACGTTCGATTCGATTTTAAGGCTCGACTCTTACAAAACGACAAAGGGAGACTTTCGAGTGACTCATATTCTCTCATTGATTATATTATTCCACGACTTTGACAGTTTGCCGAGGCCTAAAATTTAGGCTTCAAACGAAGCGCCTAACGCACTAAGTCACCGACAAATTACAAGCTGGTTTCTCGATCGTAATTGTTATTTCGCAATGCGAGCAACGTTACGTAAAATGGCATCAGTTAAAATTCTATCTACCTAGAGTTAAATTCATCTCTCACCCTGAGAGAGACAATTATTAAAATTATTAAAATCTTGTACAAACACCAGGATTCGTAAAACAACAAACGAGTTACTCGAAGGTAAACTTCCTTCGTCTGTCAGAAATATGAAAGACATCGAAATGGAAAATCGCCTTGCAAAGACACGTGCCGGATACTCGAAAGACTCGTCGGCGGCTGGAAATCAACGGAGGAGAGAACCACCAAGTGCGTAACATCGCACATCGTCGTGATCATAATGAACACAACTACCGACGCATTGCAAGACAAAGAAATAGCAGTCCTATTAATGGTCAAGTATCATCATCCTTACCTTGTTAAGCAGAGTGGGATTGTGAAGCTCGTCCAAAGACGGTCTATGAGCAGCTTGAATACTCATAATGTTTCTATAATTATCCAGCCTAGGGAGTGCTTCCCTCGTCATGTGCCTGAGAGACTTTCTCGTTTCTTGCTCGCCAAGAAGACTGGCACGACCTTCCAAACTGTCCACTCTATTCACGTGGAACCTGGTCCTTCTCAGTGGATTCAACTCCACCGTCTCGGAATCGGTATCGCCGTTTATGCCTTTTTCGTGCGCCATTATTTCGTTCAACGTCTTTTCCCTCTTATATATCAACGATTCTTCTACGAATCTTCCCGTTCGTTACAACGCTTCGACAACGGTCTGTCGAAATCAGCTTCCGCTTCGCCGATTTATCGATTCACCTTTAAATTGAAATTCTCTGTTAGCAATTGACTTGAAATCGTGAATACGAAGTAAAGGCACGACGTCCTTTATTGCAGAAGATCTCGTAAACGAGAAACACGACTTGCTTTTTTATTTTATTATCAGGAGGCTAAAGATCGTCAGCTGTTTTACATTATGCAGTCAAAGAAACTTTGAAGACTTGCGACGACTTTTATGCAAATCCACAGTCTTATCAACGTTATTAGATTCCTTGCGATGGAAGTTGCAACAGATTCGAATAATACGTGTATACGTTACTAGTCTGCACAGATATCTGCATAAATATTTTATGAATCAATCGCTGAGAGATCTCATCTCGGCAGAAATGCGACTACCGTCCGAAACTTCTGAATACGTGGCTCTAAATTGAAGAAGCTGCGAGAGAAGCTACGAGGAATTTAATCGGATGGAACGACGGTGAATGTTATTTGCAAATGTCACTGTAGATCCCGAGATCGATCGCGAGAGTAATTAAGAAGCAAGTGAAGCTAAGTGAAAATTCGCAGCATTCCCTGGAATCGACCTGTCTTGAAAATGATCGGCGCCCGATGCCCTTGGTTCCCCAATTACAATTAGTTAACAACTGCCGCGTGGGCTTGTCAATTATGAAATTACCCTTGTTTACAACACTCCACACATAATTACTAGGCTCCCGACGGGTTAATGCATGAATGATCTAGTTATCAAATTAATCGTTCCTTCGAACGCCGTAAAAACGTAGTTTCCTGGCTGCGGTAGAAACTATACTGCTATGCGAGAAAAGAATGTTTCCCAACGCTTTCGAACTTCGAAATTGATAGAAATAAAAATGTTCCTTCGTGATATTCGAAAAAAAAAAGCGGTAGATTAACAAACGTTTAATGCTGTATTTTAAATGAACAACTGAAGTACCACGCGGGAACGTTTCACAAGTAATTGATCCTGATCTTCGTATGCAGTTTCTTCGTTATTTTATTATCACGATAAATATTTTATCGCCTCGAGGACAAATCATTATTTAGTATATTTTATTTTTGCTTAGTAATTTCGCGCTCTTACTAATTAACTCCGATTTAAAATCAGAACAAAAATTAGATCATGAAGTGGAATTTAGTAGTCATCGATCAGCGATTTCTTTCTTTCTTTTTTTTTTTTTTCTTATAACGTAGGTCGAATAAATTAAATCGACCAATGTCGCGAGGATTACTCCCAGTTAATGTCTGAGTACATCATTCTAAATTTACGTAAGTGTTATTTGCATTTTTAATGACGATTCATCAAATTGTATCATTTCGGAGTAGCTGCGATCCAAAGCGTATGCAACCTGAAGCTGTTGAATAATCGTGTATCATTAGATTTATGTAAAAAATATTGTAGAACGAATATCTTTATATGGTTTTGAATCACGCTCTAGAATTCTAATTAAATTAAAGTTCACTTATTTTCTGGCAAGTTAAACGAAAAAAGAAAACATAATTCAAGTAAAGTTGCAATAGTTTCGGATAAATCGGTAGAAAGATTAGATTAACAAACAATTGATTTTAAAAAAATCGACTTCGATACGTGTAATCTTTCGATTTAATAGTAATCGAATAATTATCCTACTGATTTCGAGTATTAAAACTGCGATTAATTTGAATTCAATTATTCAATGAAAGAAAAAAAAAAAAAAAAGTGAAATTTGCAGGAAACACTGAAAGTCCATATCAGCCGTATCTCATAGTGTTCATAAAAACGTTTGTGATAACACAGCGTAATAAACATACTCACGAGCTCAATTTCGACTGTGTTTATATATGAATAAAAAAAATGATTTTTCCATCGTTCTATTTTAATCACAACTTCCACGTTCATTAATCTTATATTAAAAAATAAAAAAAAAGAGGAGAGTCGATAATTGTCGCAAATTTCCCTTTCCTTTCTTTTCACTTCATAACTGATCGTAATTCATTAAAATTCAAAAATCTAAATCACAGACAAGATTAACTCGTGTAACAAACGTGCACATATGAAATCTACGCATCAATATTGAGACGAATAATTTAAATCAATTAATCGTATATGCAAGCGTTGAGAATTCTTTTAAAAAATTCAAGAGAATTTAATTAATCCTGATACTGATCCAACAATTCAAGGATGTATACGATAAATTTTTCATGTTAAAAGAAATATAAAATCTTCTTTATGTAATTTTTATGTTAGAAAGACAGTTGACACCAATTTGAAGGAACGTCATGGGGGTTCAGAAACGGAGCCGGCTCACCCCACAGCGTCGACTTTTATTGCAAATAGAATCTAACGTCTCGTTGCATTATTCACGTAAATAGAAAAGGGGAGAAAGACCGGTAGAGACGCGTGTCTTTCACTCGAAAACGAATCAGTTGCAGACGAATGAAAAGGAGCAGGCATTCTGTCCTTCACCTTCTTTCTCAGCCCCGTAAAAGGGATCTCGGGTGGAAGAGTATCTGTCAGGTATTCGATCCCCCCATAACCTCACGCCATGAATATTCACGCCTTCGAGCTGTTCTCACATCTGTCCATTGGATATGGAACGACGACTCTAACATTCGACGTTTCCCAGAAATACAAGCGACCGCATCTCAGCTGAACGTAGAACCGAAGCCGGCAACTTGTCAACTAGTACATCCACAATTACAGTACGATGCGACTATCTCTTCTGCCACTGGATTTTTCACTGTACGTGAACTGACCCGGTACGTACACTCGTACGTTTGCGTAGCCGTAAGCACGTGCCGCTTGCTTCTGTCATACGTGCGCTCGTGCGATTTCTCAGACTCGCCACTCCACGACACGTCCAGCCGTCACAAAATCCCGATTCCTACTGACGGAACATCGCACAATTCCCCTTCGTTTTAGCCCATTTGCGCGCTTGCGTACACGAATTCACATGCAATCGTATTCGTATCGATACGGATGCACACGCGTGCACCCTTGTACGTATGCTACGAAGATCGCAATGCACGCGTTATTTTCTAAGTGCATGCACACTTCCTTACAGAAATTCTTCGTTACTTATTCGTTGCCAAAGCATCCTTCTCTCTCTTCCTCGTGAAATTTGTAATCTGTATTTTTTTTCTTTCTCTCTCTTTTTTTTTCGTCAGAAATTTTTAAATTTCAAGTTATTTGAGATATTCAATTAAATCGTGTTTTTGATAAAAATTTCATTTATTTGAATATCGTTATATATGTATAGATGTCGCATGAAAGAAGAATGAATAGATCAATTATTCCTAATACAAAATGTGATATTGCAATACGTATTTGTATAGGTTATTGTATGTTAAATTTAATTAATTTAATATATAACTTAAATGATAAAGGACATTACGCAGAAATATACATGTTAGTTACTAATTATTCAATTTTGTTACCTTTTTATATTTTATATTTATTGGTTTTATATACATTAACAAAATTGTATAAAATATAATTATTCAATATTATCAAAAGTATATAAACAGATCATAACGCTTTTTTTCTTACTTTAACGCAAAAGTTTCCTCTTATAATTTTATTGCTTATTTAGATTTTTCCAACAGTTACTCTAAAATTGTTTCAAAATCAAAGAAATAACAATAATTGAAGATCTTTTGAAATTAAAAAAATTTTCATTTTTTAAATCGCATAAAAGATTCGCGTTTAAAAGATGCATAAAAAGTAGATACATGCAATTATATTTTGTGTGTAACGTTCAAATGAGAGCACTAGAAATTTTAATTTTATAAACTTAATTATTGCTAAATCCGCTGAACACAAGTTCAATCGCCGCTATTACATCATGATTTGTAAGATGTAATGCTCGAAGATTCAATGTATCGTTTTGGAGTCCTAATTCATGCATTTGCGCTAACATTCGTCGTAAATCCGAAGAACGTGGTAAAACGGATGGTGAATGAACTTGTTGCATAGCTTGTGTAAACATTTCTGTAGTTATTATTCCAGAATTCGTGCTGCCAGCTGAAGTGGAAGAAGGAGAATTGGAGAGTGGAAAACTTCCAGCTCTTGCTCTAGAAACTGCTACTGCAAGTTGTGCAACAGTCACCGTAGAATTTGTTGGATTAGAAGATAAATTTGGTGTTTGTGTAGAATCTGAAGATTGGGAAGAATCTCCTGCCATTTCTTCATCGCCACTTAAATTGTCTAAAGTATAAGAATAAACAGCAGATTGTGAATTAGACAACGAAGAATTGGAGCCAAGGGTCACATTGTTATGTGCTTCAGCATGAACAGCTGCAGCTATATTTTGTGCAGCTTCCACCAAGACTGGATGTGCCTCTGCAAATCTACTCATACAATTAACATATGTAATAATTTAATAGAATTATAGCCTTAAAACATGCATTTTTTTTTAGAATTTACCTTCGGACAGTATCTACATCTGTGAAATATGACATCAAATCAGGGTCTTGTAAAATTGCAATTGCTACGGTATCTTCATGCAATCCAGGAGAAGATGAGATGATATTGTCCATAACTTCTGGTTTTTTACCTATGCGCTAAAATAAACAGACTTTACATTCTCTAATAAGATCTAGGTATCATAAGTTATATAAGTGTACAGTAATCAGTGTACATTTAAAGCACTTCGAAGTCCAGGATTCTCTTTGAAAGACTTAAATGCAGACACTAGCTGTAAAATTGCATCTTCTGATATATATTTAGGAAACGATGGCAGTTCTGGTTCTCTTTTTCTTAAAACATGTATCATTGAGCCATTTTTCAAACCATATGATTCTAGAGTCATATCATCTTCAAGAACACACCCACAGTAAATCAATTCTATGAAAAAACAAAATAAAACATGTCAAGGCACTTGAATTTCAAATATATCTATGGTATATTTAAATAATTTAGTAATTATTTTAACAAAAATAACAAGTATATGTATATTTTTTTTATAGTATATCATTATTGCGTTATTGCTTTCGTATTAAAAAACCTAGAACATTGATTCAAGAAAAATGGGAACAAAAAGAAACAAAGAAAATGTCATCTCACCAAATAAATCTTTTGATAGGTTAACTCTTCCAGCTGTCTCGTATTTCAGTTCTTCAACTTTCGTTTTGAAATTAATATCGTTTAATTTAATGGTAGAGAATGTTTGAGGATCTAAACGTACACCTAAAATTAGTTCTGAACTCATTATTGTCACTGAGAACCAACGAAAACACAATACGATGTTGTACTTTTAAATCGATACACTCTTCGATTTTACAAAATCATCATGAAGCGTTTAACGTGTTGTTCCTTATATCATTTTATCAGTTCAGCCTTCATGTTAATTTGTAACCGTTTTATGGAGTATTTTTAATTGATTGAAAATGAAAGTATCTTAACTATAATTAGTTCTAATATTTTATTATTACGAATGAACTTTTAACAAGAATAAAATAAGTTTGAATGCAAAACCATATTACACATTCGAACTCTTGTAAGTAAAAAATAAACCAGCTATTAATTATACAATAATCGATTCGTAAAAATTTGCATGACCAACAAAGTATAATTGTTCTTTACTTGAAATTTTAATTATTAAAATATACGTCATATGAATAACATCTTTAAAATGTTTCAGATCGATAAACGGTTTCGATGACTCGATATTCGGCACATTCAGTGTATCGATATTTTTTTGCGATATATTACCTACGCTGTTATTTGCAATATGACGAAAAAGTTCAGTGAAATGTTTGCGATAAGTTTTCATAGCTGACATTCAGATAAATTTTTATAATGTTGTGCAATATACAATTTTGATACAATATAAGAAAAAGCAGAAATGCAAGACATTTGTGAAAATATTCGTACAGCTATTGAACATGGACGTACTGACATAATTAGATCCCTTTTAGATGCTTGTACGTGTTACAAGTTTTATATTACATTTAAATTTTATTACAATTGTCACATAAACTTATTAATAAAATATTTTTATTGAAAATAGAGCAACAGTGTGAATAAAAACATACTGCATAAAATAGATTATGATTCATATATTAAAGCTTTCAAGTAATAATCATTCAAATTTTTTATATTATTTTTATGATAGGTGAAAACGGTAATACCACTGATGGTATAACAAAGGACAAAATTCTAAATCAACCACTTTTAGAGGAAGGTACTTTCCTTTCATATGCTTCAAAGGTAATTATGTGTAGCATGTATCATAAGAAACAACAAAATTTGTATAAATTCATAACGACTAAAATTTTTTCTTTTTAATTTATTTATGAAAATATAGGTAAATCAACCAGATATAGTAAGGACATTATTAAGTTGTGGTGCTAATCCAGCTGTTCAGAATAGTAACGGATATAACGCTGTAGATGTTGCATCAAGTGATATAATACGTCGTACTTATATTGAAGAGTTATTAAGAGCAACTGCTGCATCTGAGTATGTGATTAATATTTCTAATAACTATGTAATACTAAAATAATTTTACATATGAAGATATGATTATTTAAAGGTTAGAGAGAGTATTGCAATTATTAGATGCTGGAATAAACGTAAATTCATGGGATTCCCATGGTAGTAAAAATACTCCTCTGCATTGGGCAGCTTGTTATGGAAATAAAGATGTTGTCACATGTTTAATTGGTACTATTTTAAAAATATAAATTTTGAAAAAATTATTTCTTTATAACTTGACGAATACAATTTTTCTATAGACAGAGGAGCAGATGTAAATGCTGTTAATGGCTGTGGTGCTACACCATTACATGATGCAGTAAATCGTGGTGATGTTGCTATTTGTCAAGAACTGTTACAAGCTGGTGCAAATCCCCTTGTACGAGCAACTAAAGGGTATGTTAGATCTAATATCATATTTTGATAATACATACCTAAATATTACATCATAGAACTTTCTAAAAAAAAAATTTATGTTGTAGAACTTTCGCAGGAAAAAGTCCATATGATCTTTCTAGAGGAAAACAATCTTTGCATAGTTTTCTTCAAAGATTTCTATCAAACTTTGTATCGAGCGAAAGTGAAACAATGCACAGTTCAACTGCAACATTTACAGAAGGAAACTTCTGTCAAAGAAGCATCTCAAGCAACATGAGTCAACTTTCTATTGAATCTACCAAATCACTAGATCCAATCTACGACTTACCATCACATGAATCAGGCAAAGAAAGCCCTGTTAAAAGTACAGAGAAAGATGGAATTTATAGTTTACTTTGGCCACAACCAAAAACTATTGTTGAATTGAAAAATTTTTCTACACCTTTTATTGTTAGAAAAGAACTTTTTATATCTATAATACAGGTACATTTTTGATATACAATTGTAATATATATTACTGTTTCATTCACTTTCTTAAATATTATCATACAGGGTAGTGAATCTATACACAAAATATTAGATGTTTGGGATATTAGCAGGACTCATTTATTAGAATTAGGCTGTGATGTTAAAATTGGTGAAGTACATCCTAGTTCTGGTAAATTATTGAATGATAACCGAATTGAATGTATAGTAAATAAAAAACTGTTTAATACATCCGAAGGATATCAATTACATATTTCACAAAATACTATTAAAATTGGTGCTGGAAGTTTAGCTGGTTTACATTATGCAGTTTGTACTTTTGTGCAAATTTTGCGATTAAATAAAAGTCATAGCAAATCAGAAGCATGTGAAATTGAACCTGTTTTTATAAAAGATGAACCGCGGTTTACTCATCGTGGTATATTGTTAGATATCTCACCTAGAGGACGTATACCTACGTTAGAATATTTACTTCATATGATTGATTTATGGTCATCTTTTAAAATATCTTATTTACATTTGTATTCAAGACTTACACCAAATTGTGATTGGCAATTATGTTACTCAAAATCAGAAATGGTTACTCTTGATCGTTACTGCAGGTTTGTCTATAGTTCTGCAAAATTATTTTGTTTATATTTTTATGTAAGTTTAAGTTAAATATATAAACAATTTTTATTTCAGAGATCGACATTTGGATTTAGTTCCAACTTTGGATGTTGACTCGAATGTAGGACAACATTATTTGTCACAAATGTGGCCTATATTTCAAGAATTATTAGCAATATTTCCAAGTTTAAGTTATGTTCATGTTGGACCAAGATTAGCTAATTTACTTGTTCAAGCAGACAACTTTGATATGAATTTGTCAGTTAACGAAACTATAGAAACAGATATGTCAGAAGTATTTAAGTCATATTCTTGTCTTCAAGAACTTTGGCATACTTTAAATTTAAGTTCAAATACAACTTTACTACTCTGTTCAAATAGTTTACATTCTAAAGCAGAATTTCATAATATACCTAGTAATATTATTCTTGTTGAATACGGATTTCAGGTAAATAAAATGATACATGATTTACTAAATTTCAATATATATCGACATACATTGAATTCGTTATTATAAGGTTCTATATTGTAGGCAGATTATGATTTTTCTGAATGGACAGAAACATTTAGAATAGCAGGTGGTAATGTATTGCCTAGCTCTGGAACAGCAAGTTATAACAGTTTAGCAGGATGTCCAGCATCAACGTATGTAAATACAAAAAATGCAATAAAAACTTCTCTCGAGCAAGATTCAGTGGGTATAGTTGTAGCTCATTGGTCTGGAAGTCATCATCTTACTCCTCATCCTTTTGCATGGGTTGGATATTTAATAGCAGCAGGATTGGCATGGAACCCAGCTAGTGAAATGGAAGTAGGAATTGACGATAATTATGAAATATTTATATCTGAAATACTTGGATCAAGGTAATAAATAAAATAATATAATAGTAAAA